AATTTACAAAATTATTAAATAAATATGCTCTTGAGTTAGATAAGAAATGTGAGAAGGAAGGATTATTTTCTAATAAAAAAGTCAAAAATGTATTAATTTTTTTATCTTCAGAATACAAATTTACACTTTGATAAAGTCAAGCTCTAGTGTTTAAATTTCATTCTATTTAAAACAAGTTTTATCAGACTAATAAACGCTTAAAATGAGTATAAAATAATCTTGAAAAAATTAAAAAATTATTACTCCTATCTTAGAAACAAAACAAAATTGAAAAGCAAAAGGAATTACTTGATAAAAAAATCAAGCAATTCAGAAATAAGAAGAATCTTTAATAGTAATATTATATATAATATAAATTCATATCTTTCTTTAATCTTAATACAATTATGCTCTTGTGAAAATAATGATATTTCAAAAAAGAATTGTAAAATATCAACTGGTAGGTTATCAATTAAAATAATAATTAAATGTAAAAAATGTAAGGAAGTTTTAACCTTTCAAAATGAATCTTCAGATATGAATTATACAAAAGTATTTACCACAGCAATATTATATGGTAGATTAAATAGGCAAGAATTTCAAAATGCAATGCTAACCCTTGGTGTTACTAAATTACTTAGTAAATCTATTTATTTTAAATATCAAGATTCAATAAGCGAAAATATTAACAATGTTGCTTTAGAAAATACTAAGAAGCATTATATGTATTTATTGATAATGCTAAAAAAAAGAAAAAAAATGTTTTAATTGTTAGCTTTGATACATCATGATCACATATATGCAATGCAACATAGGCTAATAAAAAATTCATATATTATAGAATTCCTAAAGGCAAGTATTATTTTATTGTATTTGGTTATATTTATAATACTTAAATTAATCCTATCATTAAGATATACTTGAAAATTAGATTTTTTGTTGTAAAAAAAAAATTATTAAAAAGACAAAAATAGAAATAAAACAATAATACATTTAGGAAATAATGAGGCAAGTTCTAAACAAATGGAACATGCAGTACTAATTAGCATATTAGAGATAATGGAACCTGTTTTAGAAGAAAATGACATACTTTTAGATATTATAGTAGATGGAGATCTTGATAGTAATAAAACTTTACGTAGAGTAAAATGTATAAATAAGATTTTTTCTGATCTTAAACATTTAACATGTAATATCTAGAAAAAATTGAATTATAAGTAATTTATATATATATATCCTTGTTTTACTGAATTTTATTTGTAAAATAATTTGTAAATATTTATTTTTATTTTTACTATAGTTAAGAAATGGAAATATTATTCTCGTTATGAAGATGTAATATTGAATTACTATAAAAAGTGTATATTTGCTGCAGCTGTTCGAAAAGAATATAATAAAGATTTACCACTTACAACTGAATTGGTAAAGCATATACAAGTATATGGATTAGTAAAATATTTATGTGATGATTACTTAGAATGTTGACCGAAAGTATGTTAGATAATACAAAATCCTGAATTAAAACTTCTCAAACTAAATCTGTTGCATTGTACACTTAAAGAATAAAGAAAATTTACTACAATTAAAGCTCCAAACAGTTCAGTTCAGTCTGAATTAGATGCCAATCTGTATCTGAACCGAAAATTTCGGTTCAGTTCAGTTCAGATTATTAATCTTAAAAATGCCAATCCGAATCTGAACTGAATCGCAGACCAGTAAAAATCTGAACTGAACCAGAATTTTCAGATTAATCTGAAATTACGGTTCAATTATATAAGGAATCTGCAATTTATATGCAAAACTCTAGGAGAATCACAAAAAATTGCAAATTTCTCTTCGAGATTCGCGAAAATTTGTGAAATTCGATGAGTAATCGCAAAAATTTGCGATTCTCTAAGATTTTCGCATTTTTTTGCGAAATTTGAAGAGAAATCGCAATTTTTTGTGACTCTCCAAGAATTTCGCGATATTTTTTGCGAAATACCAAGAGAAATCACAAAAATTGCGATTCTTTAAGGGTTTCGCAATTTTTTGCAAAATTTGAAGAGAAATTGCAATTTTTTGCAACTCTCTAAGATTTTCACAAAATTCTAAGAGAAATCGCAAAAAAATGCGATTCTCTAAGGTTTTCGCAATTTTTTTGCGAAATTTGAAGAGAAACCGCAAAAAATTGCGATTTTCTAAGAGTTTTGCTAAATTTTTGCGATCCTCTTAAAGAATTCACAAATTTTGCGATCCTCCAAAAGTTTCGCATATAATCGAACTGAACTTTCGGATTAATCCAAAATTATCAGTTCAGTTCAGATTTTTTTCAGTTCGGATTAGAATTATAATCCAAAAAAAATCCGAACCAAACCAAAAATTTTTAGATTGATTTTTATGCAATCTGAAACCGATCTGAACTGACTGATCTGAAAAATCTTCAGATTAATCTGAACCGTTCAGAGCTTTAACTGCAATACTTGATAAATCTTTCAACTAAATGTTGGATAAAGTCTTATAACAGATGTTAAAACATTTTAAAATAATGCATTTAATAGACAAAAATTAAGCTTTGTTTCAAAATTAATTAATTATTAAAAAATATATTCTATACAACATGCTTATAGATGAGGGACGAAACCCCTTAATAACAGTCGAAACTTAGACGAAACTATATTAAAATCATAATAAGGGATAC